CGGGGGCAACACTGAGGGTTGTGATCCGTTGCCGGACACGGAAAAAGACAAAAGACCAAAAAAAAAAAAAAAAAAAATTGTAAATTCTCCTAACTCTCCAACCAAATTCTTATGTTTTTACTCATTTGTGCAACTTTGGGACTGCGCATTTTCCATTGCCTGAAATGGAGCTTTGAGATGGACTGTATAATTTCTCCAGTCTTCAGTCTACATTTTGATCAGCAGTGCCCTCTGCTGTTCACTATTAATATTGACTTAGTAATAAAACTTAAAAGCTTTTCAAGCAATTTTCACTTTGTGTCTTAGTCTGTTCAGGCTGTTATAACAAAATACCTTAAACTGGGTAATTTATAAATAATTTCTCGCAGTTCTAGAGTCTGGGAAGTCCAAGATCAAGGCACCATCAGATTCAGTGCCTGGTGAGGGCCTGCTTCTGCTTCAAAGATGGTGCCTTCTTGTTGCGTCCTTACTTATTGAAAGGACAAGGGAGCTCCGTGCACCCTCTTCCATAAGGGCATTAATCCCATTCATGAGGATAGAGCCCTCATGACTTAATACTTCCCAAAAGGCCCTACCTCTTAGTACCATCATATTGGGTATTAGGTTCCAACATATGAATTTTGAGGGACACCAACATTCAGCCCACTATATCTCACTTTCAAAAATGTCAAAACCAATAGATTTAATTTGTAGTATGCTATGTATGGAAGCAAATGGGTGTATCAATCTCTGTTTTAGTTTTCTGGGACTGCCATAACAAATTACCACAAACTGGGTGCCTTAAGACAACAGAAATTTATTCTCTCACAGTTCTAGAGGCAAAAGTCTAAAATTTGTCAACAGGGCCATGTTCTCACAAAGGCTCTAAGGGAGAATCTGTTCCATTTTTACCTTTCTCTTAGCTTTTTTTTTTTTTTTTTTTTTTTTTTTTTTTTTTTTCCGTGCCCGGCAACAGATCGCAACCCTCAGTGTTGCCCCCGTACCGGACCCACCAGGCCGGCCCAACTGTGTTCTTTTAATGACAGAAGGAAGGACACATACAACTGGATTAGGGAGATAAATAGCCAAAACAGAGCATGTTGTGCAATATGCAGAAAATAATTTTGGATTGGGCATGGCGAAGGAGGAGACTGTGAATACACATATGGAGACTGAAGTCTGGGATTAGACAAGGAAGTACTTCTAAATCGATCAGAAGGGTTTTTTGTCTCAAAGACACCAATGCTCAGTTGAAAACAGTGACCACTGAATTAGTTTGGACATACCACACAAACAAATACATAGCATTTTATCATTTCCTTGATGGTGCCACGGAACTCAGTAAAGTTATATTTCCTGATTCACAGCTTGAAACTAAAATGTCCAGTGGGCAAACAAAAGGGGGAAATTTGATAACTGATATGTCGGCCCCTTATTAGGTTGCTAAGGTTGCTGTAACAAACTACCACAAAACAAGTAGCTTAACACAACAGAAATAAATCCTCTCACAGTTCTGGAGGCCGGAAGTCTGCAGTCAAGGTGGCAGCAGGGCCATACTCCCTCTGAGGTTCTAGGGAAGAATCTCCTCCATGCCTCTCTCTTAGCTTCTAGTCTTGCTGGCAGTCCTTGGCATTCCTTGGCTTGCAGGTGTATAACTTATATCTCTGCCTCTGTCATCACCTGATCTCTTAGCTTCTAGTCTTGCTGGCAATCCTTGGCATTCCTTGGCTTGCAGGTGTATAACTTATATCTCTGCCTCTGTCATCACCTGATATTCTCTCCCTGTGTCTTCACATCATCTTTTTATAAAAACACCAGTCATATTGGGTTAAGGGCACACCTTACTCTAGTGTGGCCTTATCTCAACTATTTATGTCTGCTGTGACCCTATTGCAAATAAGGTCACATTCTGATGTACTGGAATTTAGGACTTCATCATATCTTTTCTGGAGAGACACCCATAATAGCCCCTAACATTGATAAGATATTTATTCTCTACTGACTTGAACATGGGGTCAAAAAGAGAATATTGCATTAAACCTTTTAACATTAGGTTTTTTAGCCAACTATTATTTAGTTTTTCTGTAAATGTAGGGAAGTTTATTTGTAAGTCTCTTCTATATAATTTAATTTCCACTATAATTCCTACTTTTGTTTATATGCTTATAGAAATTTGTATTATTCAGAAAATAAACATACCATTATATCTATTGCCTGCACTTAGATTTATTGCCTGCTACATTTAGATTTTATCAGTATTTTGTTTTATTTAAAGAAAGGAAAAATGGTACTGTTGGAAAAGAAATCAAAAATAGTCAATTAACATTAAAGTTAAGATATATTATTTTCATATGAAATAATTCTCAAAATTAAAGAAAATAATTTATCTACTTGATTTAATTTTATGGCACTAACTTAAAGCTCTTTGGATTGTAGTGAGTATTATACATTTGGGTGACAAAACAACCAATACTTATTGAGCCAAGTTTCATTGTCAGACACTATTTAAACCTCACAACTATCCTAGTATTAACTTCATTGGAGATGAGGGAACTGGGCCACACAGAGGTTTAAAAACTTTCACAAGGTCACATAATAGTTGAGGTAGGGCTAGGATTTAACCCCAGGCAAGATGACTTAATAGCCCTCTGTCTCCCCTGCATACACATGCTATTGGCATTACCCATTGTTTTACCAATTTCAAATGTAATACATAATCAGAAAACTCTCACACTTTACACAAATATCTAGCATGGAAAGTCCAATCCTACGGGCCGGCCCGGTGGCGCACTGGAGAGTGTGCCGCTTGGGAGCGCGGCGGCGCTCCCACCAAGGGTTTGGATCCCATGTGGAGACTGGTTCCGCTCACTGGCTGAGTGCGGTGCGGGTGCAACACCGAGGGTTGCGATCCCGTTACCGGTCAGTAAAAAAGACAAAAAGGAAAAAAAAAAAAAAGAAAGAAAGTCTAATCCTACTTTAATCAGCTAGAGAGAACCACAGGAAAGGTTTTGATTTATTTGAGTGGAGGGGGAGAATAAATATTAACATATAACACATTTTAAAATAATAATAGAATTATTTTATACATACATATTGTTTCACAACTTGATTTTTTATTTAACTGTCTATCTTAGGGCTTTGTGTGTCTGTGACGGGATATCTATCCCATTCTTTTTAGCAGCTATATGGTATTACAGTTTGTGGCTATACCATAAATTTATTTAGCCATTGTCTACTTGATGGACACTTGGTTTGTTTCAGTTGTCACTATATAAAAAAAGTTGTATTGCCTGTCTGTGCTAGTATTCCTGTAGGATATATTTCCAAAAATGAATTGCTGACCAATTAATGAGTTTTAACACTTTAGCTTTTCATAATAATGAGAAGATTATTTTATGTTCCCACCAAGGGTAAAAGAAAATGCTTATTACTATACTTTCTTATCAGTTCAGAGATATTATCAGCCTTTTAATCTTTGCTAATTAAATAGTCCTCAGTCCTTGCCACTCCCAAAAGATATATAATTTGGTCATAATTTGGATTTTTTCAGTATTAATTTATTAGCAGTTTGTTATTTCTTTTCTGCGAACTGCATTTTCATATCTTTTACCTGTCAGTAATACCTTTTTTTTTTTTTTGACCGGTAAGGGGATCAGAACCCTTGGCTTGGTGTTGCCCGCACTGCGCTCAGCCAGTGAGCGCACCGGCCATCCCCATATAGGATCCGAACCAGTGGCCTCGGTGCTCCCAGCGCCTCACTCTCCCGAGTGAGCCATGGGTTTGGCCCAGTAATACCTTTTTTTTTGATTATTCACTAACTTGATCCCCATATAGCAAAGAACAATAAGGTATTTAAATGTCTCTCACTTTCAGATCAACCAAGAAGGATCACCTCTTTTGCTGTTGTAGGTTAAGATTTCTTTTCAGTAATATAGAATTTAATTTTCTGAAATACCTCTATAGTCTTTGTTGTTTGTATTGCTCCTGCCAACAATTCAGAGAATTATGTTTTTTTGGAAATTTTTATACTCTGTGTTTATTAAGAGGTCTTTTTAGATAATATTGTCTGATTTACAAGTTTAGCTAAGTTCGTCTTTTTTTATTATTTACCATGCTTTGTTATTTCCTTTTTTGGAACAGGATAATGCCGACTACAGATTATTTCAGAAAACGCTCAAATTATGTCGTTTCTTTGCCAATTCCCTTTTGCACTACACTAAGGTAAGGTTTTATATAGGTTACTTTAATTTTAGTCCTTTCAAAAAACTTATCGTGTATTATTCCTATTTCGCAGAATATAAAGCTGAAGCTGAGATATCATACCTTAACTTGATCAAGTCACATAACTAAACCCAGTAAAGTTGGAATTCAAATACAGGTGTGATTTCTTCATCCATTATGGATAGGCAATCTCTTATAAAGTCAATGAAAGAGTTTTTATTGGTAAAGAAAGGTAAAGAAAAAAATTTGATCAATTCAAAAAAATTTTAAATTCCCCTGAGAGAAAGGAATTGATTAAAAAAAACAAAATGGCATAATTAGGGAAAATTTTGCCTCTTATACACCAAGCAAATATCAGATGGTTAACTATCCATCAAGTGCCATTGGTGCACTTCCCACAATGTATCTCTGCCACTGGAATACATAACCCTGCAAGCTGCAGGGAACCAGTATAAGCAGCAGCCAACTACTGTAATTGGTACCTGCCCAGAAGCACCAGTCTAGTCAACACACCAAATAAAATGGTAGTGTGTCAGTAGCCAGTATGCCAGCCATGAAATTCTGACTCTTAATAAAGTCATTGGAGATCTTTACCTTTCCTCAGAAAGGAGCAAGACAAGGTCAAAAACACATTCAACATGGACGATAGGTTTTACAAAAAATCATTAATATCTATTACTAATAATGTTTCTTTCACTTGCTATAAGCATTCTCTGTTCTTCTCTCCAAATAATCCCCCTTGACAATTTATCTATTTCATTTATATCTCTTCAGTTATCACTATTATTCTGATGACTCCCAATATATGGGTCTCCCTAAAATTATGACACAGTTTTAAAGGTTTGAACACTGGTTACATAAAACAATAAGGCTTACTGGCTTACTTACTTAGCCTCATCCTCCTTTTTATTTTCATGTAAGATTTTTTTTTTTTAATGGGGCACATCCAGAATTTTATTTTATTTTGCATACCTTTGGGAGAGGATATATGTTAGAAAGTCACATTGTGTACAAAGAATGAATAGAGTTATTTTATTTTAGGAATTTCTTCCTTTTCTGTCTGATTCTTGCTGTACCTTGCACCAGCTTTATCTTCAGATACACAGGTAAGAAGAGTGCCATATGATAATTAAAATTTAACAATGTCATTTGTACTATGCAAACCTTAAGTGTATATCATTTTAAAATAAAACATCAGATTAATTTTTCTTAGTGCTTTAGTAAATTTTTATCTGTTTGCTTAAAAGAATTGGAGATGGAAGCTTTCGAAGGATAGATTCCACATGAGTTTTACTTATCTTTGTATTCTTAACTTGTACCTTATATGCAAGTGATAAATAATTGGTATGGTGATAAATACAATGGCAAGAAGAAAAGGTTATATATATACACATTTATATGTCAGGCTTCTGCTCCACCACTTCACCAAAATAGCTTTTGTCAAGATCATCAGTGACCTCCACGTTGCTGCATCCATTGGTTAGTTTTAGTCCTCACCTTGTGTAACCTGTCAGCAGCACTTGACTCTTTTTTTTGAAAACTCTTTTCTTTTGGCTTCTAGGACACATCTCCTTCTTAGTTCTCTTCTGGGCTTACTAGCTGCTTCTTACTAGCTTCCTTAGCAGGTTCCCCCTTTGCCCAGCTTCTTTAACTTGGGTGTGCCCCAGCACTCAGTCCTCAGGCCTATTCTCCATCTGTTGTCATTTAGTCTCAAGACTTTAAATTTATCTCTCTCCCCTTTAATTTCTCACTGCCAATTAAGACATTTGCACTTAAACTGTTGCAAACTGAACTCTTGATTTCCACCTATTCCATCCCCACCGCAGTGAAATCTGTTCCTCTTGAAGCGTCCTCATTGCAGTTTAAATGGCAACTTCATTCTTTCAAATTGTTCAGGCCAAAAAACCTTGCCATCATCTTCAGTGTTTTTCTCTTGATCTCATACCCTACATCTAGTCCCTTAGCATATTCTGTCAATATTACCTTCAATATAAATACATATATTCAATATTATATATACAGAATCCAACCCCTTCTCATCACCTGAACTCTTACCATCTGATTCAATCCACTATTATTTTCTTGTCTGGATTTTGCACAAGAGCATCCTTCATTCTCTTTATTTCCGCCCTTGCCTCACTATTCTGTTCTCCATACAGTTGCCAAAGTGAGTAATAAAAACATAAATCAAATGATGTGACTTCTCTGCTGAAACCCTCAAATGACTTTCATCAGTAAAACTTTCTGCCCACCTTTCCTTGTTTTATTTTTTCTCCATAGTATTTACTTAGCATCTGCTATGTATTTACTTGCTCACTTCTTTAACTGTCCCCTTTCATTAGAGTGTAAATGCTGTAAAGGAAGTGACTTTGTATATTCTGTTTACTCCTGTGTCACCCACTCCTGGAACAGTGAATGGCGTGTATACATAGGCACTTAATGAATATTAGTTGAACAAATTAATTTTAAAGTACATCATTTTTTTTTTTTTTTTTTTTTTTGTCTTTTTCCATGTCCGGCAACGGGTCGCAACCCTCAGTGTCGCCCCCGTACCGGACCGGGACCGGCAACGGGATCGCAACCCTCGGTGTTGCCCCCGCGCCTCGCTCAGCCAGTGAGCGGGAACCGGTCTGTATGTGGGATCCGAACCCTCGGCGGGAGCGCTGCCGCGCTTCTCAAGTGGCGCACTAGCGCAGTGTGCCACCGGGCCAGCCCTAAAGTATATCATTTGATTGAAAAAATATCGCTTTGCTCAGTAGCTATAGTTCAAGTCTGTGGAATTTCACTACCTATATTTTATTTATATGTGTCTTTTACCTTACTTACTATTTATTCTTCACAATAACTCTGAATCAATGTCACAAGTGAAGAAACTGAGGCTCAGGGAGGCCAAATGAATGAACCAGAGTCACAAAACTAAAA